TTATCCCATGCCACAGGATAATATCTCCTATTCCCTTCAAAGTCACTTTATCAAAATCTGCACTAGATGGACTCCAATTTCTTGACCACACTCCAAGGTATCGTCTTCAGAGGCATGTAATAAATAGAAACATTGGCCACAATGTTTTTAATGAGAGCAAGTCTCCTCCCCCTTCGATAGGAGATTTCTCTTCCATCCTGCCAACTGCTATTCAAAATGTGCAACCACCAGATCCCGAGTCAAAACATTCTTATATTTGACTCCCAAAGATAACTTCAAATACTTTATCGACAATCCTATACATTTACATCCGAGAATACTAGCCAAACTACAAGCATCCTTCCCCTCACCTAGTCTCACCACTTCGGACTTAGCAAGATTGATGTTGAGTCATGAAACTACTTGGAAGCTTAACAGAATACATTTGATGTTTAGTAAAGTTCTTTTACTCAATTCATAGAAAAGAAACGTGTCTTCAACAAAGAAAAGGTGGTTCACCTCCTCCACACGCTCTCCATCTCCTACCTTCAATCCCTTAAATAGCTCAAAATATCTGGCCCTCAAATGCATTTTATTAAGAGCTTCCATAACTATGATAAACACTAAGGAGCGACAAAGGATCATCTTGTCTGAGTCCTTTGTTAGTTATGAAGAAAAAAGATGGTCTCCCATCAACTATGGCAACAAAGGAGATTGTTAAAATACATTTCCTAATCCACTCTGTCGTTTATCCTCAAAGCCCATCATTTTCACCATACAATCAAGAAGAAGTTCCAGTTCACATGGTCCTAGGTTTTTTCTATATCAAGTTTGCATAAAATGCCCTGACGATTCTTTTGTTTTAGCTCATCAACAATCTCATCAGCAATTAGAGCTACATCCAAAATTTGTCTGCCCATCATAAAAGCATATGTTGACACTCACCCACCACTTTTCCCATAATCTTTTCATTCTCCTTGTTAGTACTTTAACAATGAGTTCATACATACACTCCATGAGGCTAATAGGTCTGAATTCTTTGTACTTGTCGCCCCCTCAACTTTGGAGATAAGTATCAAGAAAGTGGAATTTAAACTTCTGATAAAAAACATGGAATTTATTGAAAAGCTTGATGATGTCATCCATGCCAACACTTCTGGAGAAAAGCTCATATTGAAACCATCAAGCTCTGGAGCTTTATCCTTCCTAGAACGCATAA